TGGAAAAGCAACAGCAAATACACTTTAAAGCAATGTTTTTTGCCAAAGTTTTCTGGTTTAACGTTAAATAATTCCTACTATGACTAACATGGTTATTATTTATATGCATATATATGTATATGATTTTTCTATGTACAACTTTAGTACCAAGAGTAATATTCTTGGCATTATGTGCTTATATGTTCTTATTATTGAACATTTTTACTAGTTAATTATGTAATATTTTTGTTTCAGACAATTTTTTTTTATAAAACTAAAATTCTTATTTGTACCTTACTCAATTCAAAAGGTCAACTCCTCTAAACCCTTACCGACAGAATATAATATATCTTAGAATAGTGTGGACATGTGCAAATTTAGATTTAGGAGCGCTCACTACACAGCCATAAACTTTGAGCAGGGCAAGGTCTTCATTACTCAGACCAAAGCTGTATCTGTGAGCATAGTGCAGCTGCATGACGGCAGGGCAGCAGTGTGTGGTTCACCTCACCACTTCACGGACTGAGTGCAGGGCCCTCGGTCAGCAGGTGCCAGTACAATCGAAAGCTTCATGAAATACTATACCACACATATCAGGAGCCTCATCGGAGTTGTCTCCGCAGTCATCCTGTCCATCACAGATCCAGGAGAAGAGTTTGCACAGGGAATTATTGCAAAGGAATTCATCAGCTCTGCATATATTTCCTCCTTCATTATAAAACAAAACAGAGTGCATTAATTGTAAAGACAGAAGGACACCCACCATTCCAATTATATATTGCTTCTTTTTATTTGTTTCCTTATAATACTTGAAGCACATAATTCCAAAATTTTCTTAAGCCAGTGATCAAGTCTTACAATTTGGAAGGTTCTATTAATATCATTATATAAGAACACAGAGGGGCTGGGGAGATGGCTCAGTGGAATAAGCACTTCCCTAGCAAGCGCAAGGGACTGAGTTCAATCCCTGATTCCACCAAAAAAAAAAAAAAAAACAAACAAACAAACAAAAAAAAAAACACTGAAATATGATAGAAAGTCAAATTTATTTCCAATGGACCAGGGAGGTAGCTTAGCAGTCCAAGTGCCTGTCTGGCAAGAACAAGGACCCGGGTTTGATCTTGATTTTGCATGCTGTGCAAGCCCCAGGTTGGGCATGCCAAGCCAGCCTCTGAAACTGGGCATGATGGTGGGCAACTATAATCCCAGTGCTGGGGGAGGCTGAGACAGGAGGATCACTATGAGTCTGAGCTGTGTAGTGAGATACTGCACCAACCAAGTAAATACAATTTAAAAAATTTATATATAAGTTTGTTGGTACTGAGTATAATAATCTATATTTTTAAAATTATAAATTTTTGAGATAAAATTTAATAACTCTATCTAGAAAAAGAATATTGGAATTATTAGATAATTCAGTTCTATCTGAAATATTGATATACTGACTTAATAAGAATTATAATAACTGTCAAAATGTATTTTTAGTCACAAAAAATTTAATTTTATACAAGCAATAGATACTTGGCTTTATCATGCACTATTTTGTTTTGTTTTGTTTTTACTTGGAAAGTGGTCTATAGGCCTCTTTTTGTATTTTAAAATTGTACAATTTTTATATCTATGAACAAAGGCTTTAGGAACACAAAAATATTATAAATTTGTCAAGTATATTTACTAAATATACCAGATTGAAAAAATTTCATTTGGAGTTTATATCTGGAGAGAGCAATATATAGTGGAGACTTCAATAAGAGTTTAGGAACGGCGGGTTTTTATTGTTCTTAGACAAACCACTTACTTTGTCTTTGACTCAGTACATTCCTATGTTACCAAAAGAAACATGATCAATGTAATTTATAAAGTGATACTTGTACTTAATACATGGGAAGTAGCACAAAGATAGGAATTTAGAATTAAGATTGACACAAATTCATTATGCTATTTAACATCACATGTAAGATAAAAAATATGTGAATAACCTGAGTTGGCTGTATTTGACTTGCTGAAGGTATAAAAATATTTAACACTGAATATACTCATTGGAACACAAAAATGAAAGAAGAAAATGGTCAAATCTACAATCCTAGAAAAAGCTATTTTTCATTCTATTGATGGAGTTTAGAGAAAATAATGTATTTTGCATTGTAAACGCTGTATAATATTCCTTCCTCTAAATTTTAATTTATTATACAAATGTGTCATTCAGTTCTGATGGCAAACTCTACTGCCTTAATGAAAAATGTAAGTCCACAGACTACAAGACTGAGTCAGATTTTTCAGGATAAAGATTATAATGACTAAAACATATAGCACTTTATAATATGTTAAAATCAAACAGAATTTATGAACTTTTCACATCCTCTGAATATTTCAGAAAATTCTATTTGTAGCACATCAGTCATGTTAAAAGAAAAAATGAATTCCCTAGGTGATTGCGTTAGGTAACATTACTATTTCCCTACAAAAGTTTTGGACATTTGACTATTTTTAGGAAGAAAAATAAAATTAATTCATAAAAGGGGGCAAATGGTTTCATGATAACCTCATAAGGACTGTATGCTGTACTATAAAGAATTTGCATTTAAAAATACATCATGGGGCTATTGTGACAACTATGTCTAACTTAAAATGTGTCATTTTGAAATAGCATGAGGTACACAGCAAAAAGTTATCATTTAAAGAGATTGGATAGATTAAAATTCAAGTCTCCTAGTTATATTCTTCATCTGCTCAACATGAGGTTATTAGAAAAATCAAAAAGTATATGTTAATTAACAATGATACATCTAAATTATAACTAAGCGTTTGGCAGGTTCACAGAAATCTGCTCAAGTACAACATCACAGAAAACAAGCAGCTAGAGTTCTCCTCTTAATTTGTCTGGAGAGAAGCTCTAATGTATGAAAATATTTCATAATTAATATACATAGTTTACACTAGCGCTGATGAATACTGGAAAGTATAGCTCCAAATCTCTTCCTCCAAAATTGCTATAAACAGTAAGATGAAGTATGAATCTTAGGAAATAAGTAGCCCTGTGGGTCACTGAGGTCATGTTTTCAATTCAAAAATGTGAATGCTTTTTTAATTTCATAGTCCTTGGGGTTTTACTCCTGTAAGTCAAACAAATAAAACTGATTTACTGGGAAAATAAGTCATGCCTACCCTGCTGCTCTTTCATGTTTTAAGCCCAAGTATTAGCTCATGCAAGTAGAAGAGAGATTGAATAGAAGTGATGTATAATCTGGAATTGTGATGAATTCTGGAATTCCATTTCCCCAGTGCTATGAAAGACTCTCATTCAATACATTAATCATTATCTAAGAGCAAATTAAACACTAAAAATACAAACTTTATTAGACTTTATGTACATCTAAATAGGAATAGGTATTTTTAACCAAGATATTGCTCTGGAACATAATTATCTAGCAGCAAAGAAAGAGAAGGAAATTTATTAGTGTAAGTGGAAGAAAGTCTTTGATATAATTTCAGTGACAGTATTAAAGGTTATGAGCTTTCTATTTTTAGTCAGTTAGATTAAACATTTAGCAGAAACCTTTCAGATTTTAAAGACACTTCATATTTTCCAGTTTTGCCAAGATGGAATATGGTAAAATGTAATGGAATATAAACCTGGAGGGGTATTCATGGAGTCATCCACTTGTGACCCTTTCATCAGAAGGATTCCAGGATGTAAGCAGCAATGCCTCAGTAAGGATCATTGTGTTCACTTACATGAGATGGACATGCAGCAGTTAATATGCACTGCTCACTGCATAGTCTGTATTACAGAAGACCAGGAAGTAGACAACGTGAACATGAGCTAGACTTATTGTTTTGGCTGAAGCTGCTGGTAGAGCATATTAGTTGGAGTTCATCCTAATGTCTTTTCATGAGAGAGTATAAATGTTTCATTGCGGCTGGACCATCTGCCATATTTATTATCTCTGTCATGACAGGATACATAAATTGAGTAGGAGAACGTAACTGAGGTTAGAAACAGTCAGTATGAATGTTTAACCTTTCACCATTCTCTTTAATATACTTTCAACTTTGGAAGGAAAGGAAAGTTTCTTCCAATCCACTACTATTATGCACTACTGGACTATATTGGATTATTTTCATGAAGTCACGCATCTACAATATTTAAATGGCAATGGAATACCTATCTCTAGCATAACTAAAAAAATGGGGATATTAATGAATGAAAGACCATTTTGTATTGAAATTTCATATATATATATATATATATCTGTATATATAAAATAGTCAAGATAGATGTACAGCTACTTTCTCTTAATTCAATGAGAAGAAATATTTGTACTAATACTGTTTAGACAGGATATCATGTCTGCATCTTGTACTATGAATAACTACTACAAAGACAACAATATGCAATGTATTAATTATTATAACTGTCCTACTAACCTGTTTTGAAACTGTCGCATTGTTATTTGTTTCTCAATAAAATTAATTAAAAAAATAAAAACAATACTTGATCAGATTTGGAATGTTACCTAGTAATAACCACCTTCTTTAATATTTAGAACAGAGAAGATATTTCCCTTGGGGCCTACAAATTTGTAAAAGGAAACATTTAGATATATTTAAATTATAAAATCCCGCATCTTGTGGCAGCTTTTAGTACTACTGTTATTGATCATGTTGCAGCTGTTCTCAAATGGAAAATCTATTAAGAGATTTTGATAGCAAAGTTGCAATAAATTTTATACTTTAATAATACATTTAACAATGAAAAATAATGTATCACTTTATGTTTCAGCATAAAATTTATTTACTTTTATTAATACCCATTAACTCAAATTAATATCATGTAGTGCTTTATAATGAAGTGATTCCCAACTAAAAAGTATCATCTGTCTTAAAATAGCATTCACATAGCTAGAAAACAATATATGATAAAGTTGAATATTGTTTTTATGCAGGCCAAGGTTATAGTTCACTAAAGATGAAAGTTTGAGGCACAGACTATTACTTACTTATCGCATAGCATATATATTTATACAATCTAATAAAACATGCAATCTTACTATTCTTCCAGAGTAAAGCAAGCAACGTAGAAGTATATACAGAATAAAAAAATGTTTTTGCAGTAATACGTTCTTCACACTCTTCATATATCCTCATCACAGATCGAACATCAAGTCTGAAGACATATTGCTGTCCAGCACTTATTAAACTCTTGCATTTGACTTGCTTGTTGCACAAACAATTAAGTGTATCAATATATTCAGACAGATAGTGATGTTAAGCTCAACTGCCTCTGCTAGACAGTAATAATATCATTAAGCTTCTTTTCTGGATGTTCAATAACTAAAGTTTGCTGACAAAATTTAGAGAGATAGATAGGCTAAAAAGATTGCCAATATTTTGGCCTTAGCCCTTCAAGTTCTGTGAGGACTCACGGCATAAGAGAACCTCTGCTGTGACATCTTGTAACTGAGGGGTGTCCTAAATTCTCTGATCAAGGAGATTACAGGGCCAGGGAGGAAAGTGACTGATAACTGTGTGCCTAAGGAGAGCCACCTAGAGAGAAAAAATTCTTGCAGGTTTTCACAGAGATCAACATATAATCAAAATTATATGAAGTGTTCTGGTTTATTGCTCATTTGAAACTTCTTAGAATGCAGCTAGAAAGAAGAGGAATTATTTCATGATATCTTCCTCTTCCTCCAGCAGGCATAAAACATTCTTCAAATCTTTTTCAATTATGGTACATATATATTCACTTTTCCATAAAAAAATACCTCACCTCTGTCACAGAGCTCTTCGTCACTTCCATCCACACAGTCGTGCGTCCCATCACAGAGCCATCTCACTGGGATGCAGTGGGCTTTATTTTTGCATCGAAATTGGTCTTCCTTACATTCAGTTACGCAGCCCATCTGTTTAAACAAAAGTGGGCACTTCAGTTTTCACTAATGATCACGATATAATCAGGGGCAAAACAAAAATACAGCTTATTGTACTGGAGATTCACAACAGAGTGAGATTTCTTTCATTTTGATTTAATGACTACAACCTCTATGCATGACGATGGGCTTTTGCATAGAGACCACATGAAAATCCAGTTGTGTTGAAAGGATTGTATTAGAATATACGTCTACCATTTTAGACAAGTGCTAAGAATCAACTTTCCATTTCTTTTCTGCTATATTTGCCTTCCCAATTCTCCTCTATGTAATTCAAAGATTTTAATCAAATGATAGACTTTACCTCGTCTGAACCATCAGCACAATCATATTCTCCATTACATTTCAAAGACGCTGAAATGCATCCTCCACTGGTACATATATATTCACTTGATGAGCAACGAGGAGAAGCTGAATACAATTATGAAGTCGATATTTAGATACAGGAAGATAAATGACAAATTTGGAAAATAAAAACACATACAAGTATATGAAAATATAAATAATAGAGAGGAATAAATATAGTTTATATTATTTAAACTATATTCAAGAGCAGGAATTAAAGATTCACTTAAAAAGTGATTTACTACATCTTTGCAATATATTGAATGTACTTCAATGATACTGTAATCTGTGCAGGAAGAATTTAACTCAGACTACATGAAGTGGGAGACCTCAATGTCTTCTATCACTCTCATTTTGAAGGGCTAAATGAGTTTTGCACAATTTTATGTTGCTTCAAATAACGAGTTTAAAATCACTTTCAAAAGTGTAAAAATATTGAGTGATCTTTAGAAATAAAAATTGATATATGCAGTTTATAAAGCAAAAAGTTACAAATTGACATAAATATTTGGCTTGGGTGACATAAAGGTAATATTTAATAAGCTTTAAGAAGTTCATTGTTTGGGAATTCAGGGACATAGGTCAGTGGTGTAGCACCTGTTCAGCAAACATGAGGTCCTGAGTTGGATTCCCACTAGCCCCCCTAAAAAGAAATTTACTCTTCTGATGTACTAAACATAAAGTATGTATAGTCAGCAGAACCTATAAAAATATATGACATTCTTTTATGAATAAAAAACTAGAAAATAACAAATAAACATAACTTACTAATACTATACAGCCCACTTAATTAACATAAATAGGATGAGCACTTGCTGACTTGGTATTTCTAGGCTTACATTAAAACCATAGGGTTTCTGGGCATGCATTACACCACTACATGGCCAATGTCCTCCACAGTGACTGTGACATGACTGTTTAGTTTAGGAATGCTAAAACCTTTTGCCCTGAGTTTAATTCTTTTTATTTAGCAGTGTTTGGCTAGGTAATATGTGTTAATAAGAAAGCAAAGAATGTGTCCTACTTCAATACGAAGAAGATGTGATCATCAAGAAATGTATGGAGCATTGATTTTAGTAATGGGCATGGAAATAGAGCTGCCCTATATCTGCTACTCTGATCTCATCCCTTCAGCTAATATCTTCAATACCATATAGTATTTACAGTATGATTCTCTTACCATTTTATAAGATAATGTATTTGAAATACCTACCTAAAAATCAAATGCTTTAGATAGGCAGCAAAGTTGCAGAGCCATACATAATAAAGAGAAACACACAAAATAAATTCTTTTGTACTCTGGTTTTGTTTCTAATTTTATTTTGAATTTGTGCCAATGTGTAAATACATATGATGTATTTTTGTTTCTAATGTGTTAGCATATCAAACATGTTTGTTTTATAATATCAAACATAGCTGAAAACTGAAAATTTTTGTTATACAGTTTCAACCTATTTCATTTTGATAAATGGGAAAATAATTCCAAATGGTGTGATAAGATGTAAGAAATTCAAAATTTGGGGAAATAAAACTTGGATCCCACGCATGTGTAATATCACCTTCAGAAACACTTTCAAAAAATAAATAGGGCACAACAATTAATTTACCTATATAAATTAAATTTTCTTTCTTTCTTTTCTTTTTTTTTTTTTTTTTTTTTTTTTTTTTTTTTTTTTTTTGGTGGAACCAGGGATTGAACTCAGGCCCTTGCGCTTGCCAGAGAAGTGCTTATTCCACTGAGTCATCTCCCCGGCCCCCCATTTTTTTAAATTTTATTTCTTTTAGTCATAAAAATCAAAACTTGGGTAAATAAAGCTTGGATCCTATATATAAGTAATGATCTCAACTGCTAAAATGTTTTTGAAACATATAAAGACCACATCAATTAATTTATTTATAAATATTTCAGATTATTTATTTAATACAATGAATATGCACTTGTTTGTAACACCATATTTTTGTCTAAATTCCATCAAGTGAAAATATTAAATAATTTAAATACACACTAAAGAATTTCACCTTGCTCGCAATTTTTCTCATCTTCCCCATATTTACAGTCTTCGTGGCCATCACATTTCCACTTTGCTGATATACACTGGCCATTGGAACACTGGAACTGATCTTTGGAACAACTTGTTTCACAATTTCTCTGTCAAATATAATAGAGATATAATTAAAATTATTTTAGAATCCCATAAGACAGGTAGAAAACAGAAACAGAAAATGCAAAGTGGAAACCGCATCTCCTGACGTGGCTCAGACAGGAGTACTCTCAGCCGGTGACTATATAGTTATACCAATTTCCCCCTTTCATTTGTCTCTGAAGGTTATCAAAGAACAGAAGTGGAAAAGAATAAATAACATGAATTCATTGTGCTAATAATTGCTACAAGGAGCGGCCATTCTTCCAAAAGCTATGAGGTGATGGAATTTCCAGGCCTGTAGTTGATAACGAAGATTGTGGAGAAATAAAGGATTTAAAAATCTCCACTAGAGTGTTCTGCATTTGAGGTGTAGTGAAATCTTTGCTGTTCACCAGATGTAATGTTTTAGATCCTTACAAACAGGGTTGTGGGGGAGGATGTGCAAAAGCTAACCTTGAAATTTTAAAACAGCAGCAGAGTGAGTGGATTTTATTTTTTGTTCATTGGTGGTGGGTTAAAGAATTTCTGCCCATGTAATTATTGTGAACACCTTGCTTTGTGTGGTCACTGTAAACATGTGGGGGGTTGGACAGGGAGAAAAGTAAGGATTGTCCACGTGTCCCTGGCATCTGTTCACAGTAGTGTGCAAAATGTAATGCTCTTCTGTAAGAAACGTTTTTATGATTTTTAAAATATATTTAGTGAATCTATTCTGGTGGTCATTTTTTAAATAAAGACTGTCAATTTTCAAATGGTGGATGAATTTCCTCATGCACCCCTGTGTTAGTTGATACATTGTGTCAACTTGGCTGAATCAGCTCCCGCAGTTCTCAGCATGGGGGCCTAGCCCTGCAGGTGGGCAGGGCCCAGGAATTGAGAAAGGCTTTCTGCTGCCCTGCCCGGTTTCCTGCCTGCGCGCCCCGCCTCCGTGGAGAAGCCCCAGTCTTTGAAGGAGCTTTATCTTGGTAGCAGCGCCACTTTGGAGGAGCTGCTATCTTCAATGTGGAGCGCTGGTCTTCGCAGTCAGCACAGAAGGAAGAGAGAGGCTTGATGGACGCGCCGCTGCAGCTGCTGCTCCTCCTCTGCTCTTCATTGTTTTCTGCCGCATGAACTGCTGTTGTTTGCCTTGCAGCCAGCGGAATATGGACTGAACCCTCCAGTAACTGTGAGCTAAATAAACCTTTCCCTCCTTCATTTTGAGTGTCGGGTATTTGTCCCAGCAACGAGTAAAAAGTAACTAAGACAACCCCTAAACTGAACACTAAGTGCTCCTCTGTTGGAAGGGAGTACAGTATATCTCTTAGATACAGGTCAGATAGATTATAGATTATTTTTTTCTTTTCCTTTTTTTTTTTTTTTTTTTTTTTGATGGTACCAGAGATCAAACTCTGGCCACACTGAGCTATCTCCCCAGGCCCCTAGGCAAAATACGTTGGCAAATTCAGTTCTGGTGATTTTCTTGATGGTTTCAGTCTTTGCTTTGGAAGAAGTTCCATCATATGTGTCATACTTATAATAAGCTGGAGGATTTTTGTTTTTGCAAATGCTTGCTCCTACTTTTCAGCAGTTTTCTGTTGTAAAGATCCAAAGTGTGCAGCAGCACTACAAATTGAAAAAATAATATAAGTATATTCTAGAAGCCTAATTGGCAGTGGGTTTTACTAAAGTAACACTTGGTTATGGAAGTAAGTGATGGATGCTGAATAAATCCTGATTATTTTTATTACATTTCTCACCTATAGACTTATTAAACTGTCAACCTTCTAGTGTCTATTAGTCAAGCTTTGTATAAATATATATATACATGTTTTTCCATTGTATGCAAACTGCAAGAAAAAGATGTACCATTTCTCTGTTGTATGCTGGATTATGTAGGAAATGTTTGTGAACTAGCCAAACACAAGTTGAAAAAAGTTCCTGTGGACGTTTTATGTACTATCCTGGCATTTGTATTGATAGTTTAAAAGTTTCACTGCACAATAAAACTCCCATGATTCTACAAAAAAATAAAAATCATTGCTAAGCAAGACTATCCTATGCACTGTGGCTTGAGCTGAAGGTGAGACAAACTTCTTAAGGCAAATCTGTCTTGCTCTGGCAAGGATGCAGCAAGAATTACGGTCTTCCATATTGCTTTGCACAGGTCCTTTTACAGTTTAGTTGGTGTTCATAAATCTCAACTTCTTTCCTTATATTTGCTCCTGAAGAATTGTGAAGTGAACTGTCACCATTGTCATTTCTTCTAACCCATATACAAAGTTTATACGAAACTCAAACAAGTTAGCAGATTTTCTTCGGGGCAGATTTAGTGTTTTTCTTTTTAAGTATTTAGCTCTTTGACCCATGGCAATTTTCATTTAGTGCATGATGGAGGATATGGGTCTAATTTTAATCTGGAGTATTATTTTCCATTCTTTTACTTTCAATGCATAAATGTCTTTTTTAATTAAATGTTTATCTTATATGCAGCGTATTGTTGAATCTTCTTTCTTTCTTTTTTCTTCTTTTTTTTTTTTTTTTTTTTTTGGAAGAGTCTACAGGGTGTTCAGGATCTCACTACTAGATTGGATTTGGAGTGATTCTTCTGTTTACAGCTTCCCAAGTGCTGGGATTACAGGTGCTTGTCACCATGCCCAGTCTCTTTCAACTTTTTGTGCAAGATAAATAGAAGTGATCCACTAGATATTCAAAATCATTTGGTCTGAGCTCTGGTTAAAATGGGATGTTCCAGTGAAATATCTTGTTCTCTTCTAAAACAGTGTCTGTTTTGCCAACCTGGACCTGCTTGCTTCTCCCACCAATAAAAAACACTCACAGACTGAAACACATTAAATTATTCTTTACTGTATCTACATTGTTTCATTCCTATGTGCAAAAGGAAAGTTAACTTCTTTTATCTTTGTAATTTTCTTCTTACCAATGGTGGATTAATTAGAGTGTCATTATATAATTGTTTTTTTTTCTGTTTTCCAAATACTGAATATTTACCACCTGCTAGGAAATGTCTTAGACAATGATAAGTCTTACTTCTCAGATTTGAGAATCAGAAAAATATGAATGACTAACATCTACGTACAAATGATAGTAAAACATATTTATCAGCAAGATAAATAAATGTGAAACTCCAGTTAAAGTTTTTACAGAGGAACTTTTACCAGAAAGGGAACTGCTTAAGAAATCATTTTCCATGTGTAAGAATAATTTAGAATGTGTGGTACATGTCTGAAGGCTGGACGAGGTAACCAGTGGATGTCGCGAAGAGCCCTAGAGGGGAGGCCATGACTTGTTTATGAGAACGAGATTCCTTCCCCCGCATACTTCACCCACTCAGGAAGCTTCTATGACATGCCAAGCAACCTAACTAAAATCTGCTTCTACGACATGCCTAGCAAACTAATTAAAATCTCCTCTTAGAAAATAGGAATCTAAAGTATATTTTTAAAAAACTATTGATATAAATTTACTTAAAGTGGTATATAAAAACTACCATTTAATGTTTACATACATAGATAAATATATGTCACAATGTTGAAATCAAGATAAATCCTTACCTCTTCAAGGATCCATCTTTGTTTACACTGAAAAGTTTCAAATCATTCTTTCTTGCTTTTTGAATTGTATAGCTCCTTATTGTTATAGCTACCCTCCTACACTATAATATCCCAAAACTTACATTACGTAGATTTAACAATGATCCACCTGTCACCACATCCACCTCTTCCTGATTCTTGCCCCGCTCTAGTCTGCTGTGGTACTCTCAGCTCCCATAAATTCAACATGCTTAGATTCCACACATGAATTTGGCCAGATAGTATTTGTGCTTCAGTCATGGGCTTATGTCATTTGATGTAACGATCACTATTTACATCAATGTTTACAAAAATGCCAGGATTTCATTCTTTTATATAGCTAAATAGTATCCTTATAAATGTGTGCCACATTTTCTTCATCCATCACTCGATCGGCACTTCAATTATTTCTTTTTCTTGGCAATTATAAGTAACATTGCAAAGAGCATGAGAGCAGAGATCCTGGATATACAACTAGTAATGTGCTTGCTGAGTCACTTAGTCGTCCTGTTTTTACTTTTATGAGGAATCTCACCATTGTTTTCCGTAATTTTGCACTAGTAGGCACTTTTACAAGCACTGCCTAAGGGATCGTTTTATTCCACATCCTCTGCACCACTTGTTATATTGAGACTTTGACAACAGTCATTGATAAGGGGTGATATGACACCTCACTCTGGCTTTGATTTGCATTTTTTTAGGAAAGACAATTTTATTTAGCTCAGTTACTAGAGGTTTCAGTCTATACTTAGCTGGCTCCAAAGCAGAGCAGCCCATGGCAGAGAACAACCTTTCATAGTGGCAGCAAAGAAGAAGAGAGCAAAATGGAGGAGTATCAGCAAGAATAGCAACAGAGAGGAAATCTACCTGTCTCTCTTATATTACATTCAAGTTATCCACCTCAGGCTGGGTGTAGCACTCACACCTATAATCCCAGTAGTACTAAGGCCCATAATCCCAGTGGATCATGAGTTAATCTCAAACACTAGAAGTCTCTGGTCCATGATTGAATGAGGCTTTGGGGGTACAACTAGACACTGACCATAATACTATGATTCTACATACATGTAAGATGGAGAAAGCATACCCCTGCCCATTGTGAATCCACACAGTCGATGAATGTAGCCATAAATCCTAGACATCATGCCAAAAGTTATGTTGCAAAATAATTTTCTGATGCTCACTTCAGCAGCACATGTACTAAAAGAACTGCTAAGTGAATTTCTTCAAATGGTAATCCTACTAATCCTCTAATATAACTTCCAGCAGATTTAGTGTTTCTCTTTTTAAGTATTTAGCTCTTTGACCCATGGCAATTTTAATTTAGTGCATGATGGAGGATATGGGTCTAATTTTAATCTTGAGTGTTATTTTTCATTCTTTTACTTTCAATGCATAAATTTCTTTTTTAATTAAATGTTTATCTTATATGCAGC